GCAGAGTAGAGCAACAAAGATGATTGAGGGACAGAAGGCTAAAACATATGAAGAATTCTTGAGGAACTGGGCATGTTTAATCTAACGAAAAGAAAGACCAGGGTGATAAGACAGCAGTCTTCCTATATCCAAGGGGCTATCACAAAAAAGGGGGTCAACCTATTCTCCAAGCACTTGAGAGCAGAAGTAACAGAAACTTATTTAAGAAAGATCCAACCTAGAGCTAAGGAGAAGTTTCCTGACCTTGTGAAGGCTCCAGACGTTGTGGTGCTCCATCACTATTGGTTTTTAAGAGATTGGACAGCCATTTGGAATGTACATGGTCTCCTGCTTGAGCAAGGATTGGATTAGAAGACCTCCAATTCGTTATTGTTGTTCTGTAAAATTGATCAGGAAAAGTGCACTTTTTTCTACGACTGTCTGTATTTATAATACATGGAGGATAATTCTTAGCCCCCAAATGTTAAAAGTTTTCGCAATTTTCCAGCTTCCCCTTAGTCAAGAGCCTGCGCTACAATCCGCTGGCTGCGTGCCTATTGTCAGAACCGCCTTTGGTTTAAAGGAAAGGGCGGGACAAGCGAGGGGACTGGTTTACGGCGTTCCTTTTCCAAGTTAGACGGTGTGCTGCCTCCCAGTTTTGGGAAGTTGAAGTTTCCACAGAAAAATGCTCCTTAACTGCCAAGCCAGGGAGATGTTACTGAACGAAATCATATGTAAAATTAATGTATTTTTGCGACAGTTGCTGTGCAGACAGCGGCAGATCACATATTACTGAGTCTCCCGTAACTGGTGTTAGACAGCAATCAACAAATGGAAAATCCGGACACCTAGAAGCCACGTGTGGAAGAGAATGCTGATTTCCTATTTCTCAATTGCATTGCTATAGCATTGCTCAAGGTCGGGAACAGAAACGTTAACTCTGCTAAAGTGAACAACTAGAACAGCGTTGCGTAGCAGCCCCTTCTTAAGCATTCGACAAATCGATTTCTACTTCTGGTGACTGCCTGGGCATATCTAGTTATGTGGGTAACATAAGAGTTGGCATTTGCCACTGCCATTTTTCAGAATTTTCTTCCTTAGCGATAGTTGTGGATTTCCCCACGCTCACGCGTCCGAGTAATAACCTGGTTCGACCGTATTCAACAACCGAGTGGATTTAGACAGCAAGCAAATTTAAATAAATAAAATAGTTAACTTGTATTGAGATCCATTAAGTTCTCCCCCAACCAAAGCAAGCTTCCCTCTTTCAAGCCTCTACCACTCCGTATAAAGCTCAATTCAACATTAACACGCGGGCTCTTCCTCTCTCTGAACGGGCCTCTTATTTATCGGTTTTCTAAATGACAATTAGTTCCTTGCTCAGAAGATGGCGCTCACAGCGGTTCGCCAGGCGCTGCTGCACCTTTAAGCAATCACAGAGAAAGGAAGTGCCCAACACCATCTCCTGCCCTTCCTCCCCCCCCTCCCTCTTGACCGCCGGAGAAAAGAATGAGTTGGAAAGATACCGCGATCCATTTATTTGCTGGAGGGTAGGTAGAATTGAGGCAGGTTTGGGCCCTGGGATGGGGCGACAGAGGAGAAAACGTGCGGACACCTAAGCGTTCTGGCCGGCTGTGATGCTGGAGAGAAAAGTGAAGGCTTCCCTGGTTCGCCCGGGCTAGCCAACGGTTAAAGGGGGCAATATGGAACACTCCTGCTGAAGCTGTAGGCCTGCAGGTTGAAGCAGGCCTCCTGCTGCAGCTCCCATAGAAATGGCTTCCCAAGAGTTAGAAGCATCTGCTGCTGGTCGGAGCGGTGTGGGGCCTGCGCGTCGAGACAGCCCAGATGAACGCAGGAGGCCTAAGCAAGTTGACTCTGATGTAAAGCTAGAAAGGGGTAGTTTGCGTATTGGATGGTAGGATTAAAGGCCAGAAAAATAAGGCTATAAGGAATTGTCTTCTGGCTCTGACTAACGAAATTGGCCCTGCGTGAGATTTGGATTTTTTGGGGAAGATGTTTCTTTTTTCTGTTTCTTTTAATTGGAAGGCAGAATCTCTTTTTGGAAGTTGCATGTGGTTCAATATTTGCTATGTTCTTTAAACCATAAATAAAAGAAGAATTCTTATTTAATAGTATTCAGGTGAATAATTATTCAGCTGAACTAAAGGAATTTTGTGTGATCTAAAGGAATTTTGTGTGATTTCAAACTAAAAATGCAAGATCCAAGTTTCATCAAGAGAAAGTTTAATGCTATACCCTGGACATTATAGGAAAATTCTGTTTGTCGTATCACTGCTTATTCATGAACAAATTCAAACTGAATAATATATACATAGCATAGCATAACAATTTTGGGTGGGGTTGACACATGCACTAAGGCCCAGGGGTCTTCAAACTTGGCCCTTTTATGACTTGTGGACTTCAACTCCCAGAATTCCTCAGCCAGCATGCCTGGCTGAGGAATTCTGGGAGTTGAAAGTCATAAAAGGGCCAAGTTTGAAGACCTCTGCACTAAGCCATGAATTATTGAATAAATTATTTATGTTGCCTTGAGTTCCTGAATGAAAAGTAGGTTATAAATCAGTCAGATAAATAGTTACATGGGAATACATGGATTGACTCAGAAAACAATATTGCTTGACTTAATCCATTCTGTGGCTTAGCAGGATACAGTAATCCTAACACTGCAGATTTAATAGACTTTTATGAAGTTTGATTCTTAATTGAAACAAATATGTTTACACAAACTATCAAAACAGCTTATCACTTTTTATTAATTGAATACTTATACATGTCCACATTTTTGTACTTGTATTGTGACATTGCATGCAAGTGTGTAAGAGGCATATTTAGTTATATAGTAGTGTATTCATCTTGGTTCACTTAACCCAAATGTTGCCAAAATATGGTTTACCAGTTACACTGTGCTGCTGAAAATAACTTTTTGTTCATCTACATTGGAGGATCATGGGCTGCTAAGGCTTAAAGCAGGCATGTCAAACTCGCAATGTCACATGACGTCGCACAATTTATTGGGCCGGTTTTGCCATTGCTGGCAATGTGGTGGGCGCGGCTTCCATGTGACACGTTTGGCCCATGGGCCGGCAGTTTGACATCCCTAGCTTAAAGCAATAAACAGCCAACATCTTAATATATTGTGAAAGGTTTGAAATCAAGATAAATTAAGCACTGAATTTTGCAACACTGTTTTCAAGCTCTTTAAGATCAATTGATCTATGTGAATTCAGGTGCTCCTCAGTATGTATCGTTTTGTATGATCAGGGCTTGAGATGTTTTCACTCAATATGGAAAATATTGATCCTAGCATTTTAGGAATACCAGGTAATCCATCTGTGCATAAATGATTTTAATAGCCATTGGATGATTATATATATTTACAAATATGTTGCTATCAATATAATACAAATATGCCTCAGTCTTTTATAATAAATTTGGAGATGGGAAAAATGTAATCTTGTTGCAGAATAACCTGACCTATATTTGTTCCTTTTAAACCAAGTTGGACTTTTTCCATATTTAGAGAAATGAACTTCAAATAAGCAAGAAAAAGAGTAAAGTCACAAAAATATGTTCAGGAGAGGTAGTTGTTGCTACAATACAAGAAAGAAAGCTTTTCAGATATTTTCAATTGCAGCCTTATCTAGATGTGCTAGGAATGCAAAGTTCTATTGATTCATGGAGAGTTAGATAATGTTTTAACACTATCCCATTTGTATCTTATACTGAAATAGTATTCAAAGTTTCTTTCTTTAAAAAGTGACAGATACAGTCCTTTTAAATTCTCAAAATAGCATAAACTTTGAAAGGTATTAGTAGTAATGCAGTTCAGCAAATTGTCAAATTTGTTGTTTATTAAGCACTTATGATTTGTAAAAATTAGAAAATCAATAAAATTTTATTAAAAAAGATGACTAAGATGCAGAAAGTAGCAAACAGTATCATCAAATCAAGCTTTTTTATATAAGGCAAGACTTTTAAAGTGTGTTATGGACTTGGTTACTTGTATAGTTGGGTAATGTTTTTTTTTAGAGTTTGATTGTTTATTTGTAACCCTGTATTCAGCTCTGGGAGGTGGGGTAGGGGGGTAGGAGTGGGTGGGTCTTGGGATGTATATTGTATAAAACTTTTCAATTAAAAAAAAAGTAAGACTTTTTAAAAACAACAACATAGTACTGTGTTAGATTTTAACTTCCTTGACATCCAACAATATTAGGTGAGTAGTTGTCATCCAGCACATCTGAAAGTGCTAAGTTGGAGAAAGAAGGCTACTTTACACAGAAACCCATTAGGTTTATTCTGTTCACTCCCAACAGTTCACAAAAATTGGCTGTTAGCAGAATAGGCCCAGGTCAGATCTATTAAGTCCCTTGTGTTCCTTAGTACTTATACAATTGGTTCTAAAGAATGTTTAATTCTCCTGATAGTTGGGATAGGGGGATGATAAATTTTTCCCAAAGCTGATGGCCATGCAATTTTTAAAAATGTTATACTGGTTGAAGTTTGAAAAATATTGGATAGAGGTAGAGAACTAGAAATATATCATAGAACTATTCTAAGGAAAGTATAGAAAGGTCTTGGAGTTAAAATAAACAAGCTGATAAGAAATAGTTGCAGTCTGAGATGCTGAGTCCCATAGGGCTGAGAAATGGTAAACAGTGTAGAAAGGAAATATTTGTAAAGCTGATTATCTTCTTGTATTCTTCCAAAATTACTAAAATTGATTGGAGTACAACAGGCACTAGAATTGTGAACAAGTGAGAGATATTGATTCCATTTTCTGTACTGAACTCTTTAAAGACTGAAGTAACACAGATCAAGTCCTCATTCAGCTGTATCATTGGATATTGTTTGAGCCCATCACTACCTATGCTTGAACAATCTATATAATATATCCAACGATCTTTGCCTACCAGACCCAGAAAATTAGGCAAACTAAATACCGTGGTTCTGTTAATTGTAGGAAAACAGATTGTGCAAAACTCAGCTTCTGCCTACGATACTTCATAACTTTTTAATTGGAGAAACTAATACGAATCTCACTCTCACGAGGCAAAGGGAAATGAATAGCTCGCATGTCCTTTTTCCCTCTTTGACAGGAAAGGGAGGAGAGGGAGCCGCGTCTGTGAGTTACCACCCGCGAGAAACAAACCTAAAGAGAGAAAAGAAAGTTTCTAGACTTCTCTGCTGCTTGCAGCAGGTGTATCTCTAGCCCACTCTAATTCGTATTTACTCGGAAGTGAAACCCAACTTCAGGGGGGCTTGGTCCCAAGAAGGGAAGGAGAAACGTGAAAGCATGCGCTTCCCAGGCAAACTAGATGGTGCAGCGTCTCTTGCTAACCTCGCCATCCCGGCCTAATTGACTTTGAGTTTTGTTTTGTTTTTTATTTGGCTTTTTTTTTTAGGGAGATACTTTTGCTATACAGCTCAGTACGTAGTCACGTGCACTAAGCCAGCCCAATTTAACCAGTGACGTCATAGTCCCTCGTGAGCCAATGGCACGTCTGTTTATATTGGGCTTCGCTTTGCCTTGGAAGCGAGAGGCCAGGTGGTTGCGCTTTTGTCTACTTGCCTGGGTTGCTCTTGCCTCTTGCTGGGACCGGAGTTTCTGTAAATCGTCTCTGAGGAAGCGGCGTTAGGCTTCCTAGTTTGTGCTCATCGCCGTTCAGATTAGCAAGAAAGCGGAGTGGGAGAAACCTCCGGGTTGGTCACCCTTGTATCTTAATCGGCATAAGAATGAGAATATGAGCCAGAGAGATATTTGCGTACATCTGTTTGCTGGAGGGTAAGTGAAATATTATGATAACTTCCCTTCCTGCCTGCCTTAAAATGTATTGACTATCTGCTCCACATATAAAACTTCTGTGTAATATGTGGCCTATGATATTTAATTGATGGAGAAGTTGAAGGGTGTATGCGTAAGATAGAATTTTTTTTCTCAAAATAGAATAGAAATTGTGGGAATGATTTGAATTAAGACTAAAAGATTTCTGACTGACTGAACCATTTTTAAGTCACCATGTGTTAATCCACATTAGGTAATACAGATTTTAGTATTTCATGGGTAGATTTATAATAAAATAGTGCAACACATCTGTAACATTCGTTTTGTGTGCTGCAGGAAAGAAAGTTAAAACTTCAGTCTGCAGAGGTTATGATCTTGAATTAGCTGGTTTTATCCCTATTTTTATTTATCTGTATCAAATATTGTTGGCTGGATTATGTTAATCTAACTTGCAAACATATGCATGTTAGGAAATCATTTGAATGTACAAAAATTACTTCTTTTGGATAACATCGATTTCTTGAAATATACAGTTGATCAGATAATCTATTGCAGTCTGGTAGTTATCTATCAAGCTGATAGATAACTGGTTCTAAACACTACTCTTGTGTATAAACTTTGCATAAATAATAGATTATATACTCCAACAATTTTGTTTGTAATCTTACATGCATTTATCAGATATACAGCCCATTCAATCTAGGTAGAAGATCAAGTACTAGAGGGTAATTTGCTATATGTATATATAAAAATAAGCCCATGGAATGAAGAATTCTGACCATATACATTTGCTTTTATTTTTCAAAGAAGGGGCTTTGTAAATTTGGAGCAGTACTGAGCATTTCAAGGAAACTCTCAAATAATGACATTGTTAACACATTGAGAAATAATGTTCCATTCAAGAGATTAGATTTCCCCATTCTTCTGCAACTTTCTGAATATTTTCAGGTCTGTGTTGCATGACACATTCATGATTTACTCAAGCTGATTTTCTAAACCCTGGTTTATTTAACCAATTTTTCCAGATTTGAAGAATGAACTTATCTATAAACTTAGCACATGCCTGGTAAATTTATACACAACTGACAAAGCTAATATATAGCTGGCTAATTTACGGTATTGTGTTGCAAAAAAAAAAATCAAAATTGGGAAAAATTAGGTTTTTCTCCTGCTATTTAGTGATTGAATGGATTTTTAAAGTTCTGATTTTGTAGTATTACCAGCTAAGTGTTAGAATATAAAAATATTCTTTGGTGCAACTAATTAATGTAGATGCATGTTTTGAAATTAAATCCTTAATTTTTGAGGTGAAGAACAGAGCTTGGAAGCAAACATTGCAAAAGATCTGAATCAGACTAGGGCTATAAATAGGGTAAGTGAATATAAATAATTGTTCTCTGCCATAGTTGTTGCTGGCATGGGAACCTTTCTAGACTACGTGGTTTAGAATGCCTGTAGGACAGTGGCCCCCCAACCTTTTGGGCACCAGGGGACTGATTTCCTGGAGAAATGTTTTTCTGCAGACCGGAGGGGTTATGGTTTGCCTGCTGCCTGCATCCCTTCACTTGTTTGCTGGCATGCCGTGGCCCAGTGCTGGTCCATGGACTGGGGTCGGGGACCCCTGCTGTAGAGTGTTTTTGTTTGTTTAGAGCAGACATGTCAAACACAAGGCCCGGGGACCAGATGAGGCCCGCAAAGTGGTTTCATCTGGCCCGTGAAGCCATCCTGGAAACAGTGAGGGAGCGATTCCCTCTGCCTTGGCCCTGGCCTAGGCCAGCCGGGAGCCAATGTACAATTTTGTGGTGGCCATCTATGTTGAAACACATTCAGTCTTAGCTCCATGACCCCCCCCGAATGGCCTGAGAGGAATGGTGAGGCTCCTCCAGTGGACCATGCCTTGGCGCTTGCCCCGGTCCCACCCCCTTCTGCCAGAGACCCTCAGATCTGTCCCACTCCTGCCCAGGCCCCCACAGGCACCCTTGATGCAGACGATGTAGAGCTGGCCATGCTCACCCAGTAGGCCACACCCACTCCATCCATGCCCACCCAGTAGGCTCCACCCACCCTGGCCACACCCACCTGGCCCCCTGAGGGCAACCGCAATGCTGATGTGGCCCTCAATGAAATTGAGTTTGACACCCCTGGTTTAGGGGATGATATTGTGGCAAAGCTTCGAAGCAGAATATTTTGAGAATTAATTCAAAAATTTGAAATGTGCTGCTAGTTTCTAAATTATCAAAATCCAAATGCTATTTAATACATGCCTTTGAATTTTCAACTTTTGTTTTAAATTACTCTAATGTGAAATCACACACCTACATGTTAAATTTATCTCTTTTCTTTTCACCCAGGTTTACCTATTAGTTTTTCATTTTTGAATGGTCTTTAGTTTTTGAATTTGCATATTTTGGAACTGGTCTACATGGCCAGTCAACAATTCTTTTAGGAATGTGATTGTTTCATTCTGGCTGGCTGTCCTGGGCAAGGACAGGCAAGTGATGAAGCATGTATTGCAACATGACAATGCAAATTTAACCCTTAAGGTACTTATGCATAATATCATAATGCAAGTATAAAACAGAGCTTGTGTTGTTATAACACAGCACTCATTTTGACATCATATAGACAGACTCTCATAGTTACATTTTTTTCCCCAGGATTCCTATCACTCTTAATTCAGTAGAGTTTTTCTTGTGGACAAAGACCATAACCATATATCACTCAGGCATATGATTTCTCAAACTTGTAATTTCCCTTTTTCTTCTGGGTTGTTTCCTATGGTAGGATTTTTTTTCTGCTTCCAATTCTCAGAAAGTTGGTCAAAGTTCCTACTGTGTAGAAGGTATGTTACAGACCTTGACTGGCTTGTTATTAGAGTAGTTGAAGGCTTCTGCCTAATCTCTCAGCAAAACACAAAAAATATGTTTGTGGTCATGTGCAGAGCAGGGTGAAAGTAGTTTAGAGTTATCAGTCCTAAGTATTTTTATTACTAGCAACTAGCTCTTTTACTTTCCTCTAGTTTTATATTGGCTGCAGAATAAAGAAGTCAAAATATGCCACTTTTACTGCTTTACAAAAATCCCTTAACCAAAAAAAAATTAAAATAGCATATTTTAAAAAGAGGATGGAGTTACCAAAATAAAAACAGTAGAATAAATAGCAGTGGGAAAATTAACAGTATATATTTACAACAGAAGTTAATCAAATGTAAGCAAGAATGATTCCCATATATGCAGTATCGCAAATGTATATACATTTATACTTTGCCTTATAAGGGGACATAAATCTTTATAAATATAGTAAGTTATTCAGAAGTTGAAAATGGGAAGTTAGAAACAATTAGCTTCTCCCTTTAATCTTTTGTCTATTTTATTCTTTTTTTATTTTTAGTTAGTGTCAGATTTGCTTTGTTTTTCAACATGGACAAATATGTAACATTACAATGAAAACTTTAATACTAGCAGTTTTTTAAATGTTATATTTAGTCCTGGATGCGAAGCTAAATAATCTCATGCCTGTTTATACTGACATGATAGTTAATACTGATATTATACCTTATTTTTTGTATCTTTAATGGTTTAAGTTATTTAACCTTAGAGTATTAAGATTATTTAGTTAGTGCACAGACTTCCGGTGGATCTGCGTTGGGCGATGGCGGCTACTTTCTAGCCGTCCTCCTGGGTAAGTGTAATGAACCGCTATGAACAGCAGACATCAGCTGTTCAGCGGTTCAAAATCCCCCTCCCGGGCAAAGGGGGGGGCAGAGGGTAGTCTGAATAGTGGTAGAGCCTCTTATGTACCCCCAATTTTCCTTTTTTGGGGGTGATAGAGTGCTCCCACGGAGTTCAGACTGTCTCCGCTTCCCAGCTGCTTTTGTCCTTGGGACAAAACAAGCCCTCGCAGCCACCTCCGCGTTTAAAATGATCTAGTGAGTTTTTTTTAAGAAGCGGACAGAGTTGTTTAGAGGATTTATTTTTTTGCTTTCCTTGACTTTATAGGTATTTTAAATTTAAAGGTTTATTCTTTTGTTATAGTCTTTCTTTTTATTTTTTGTTTTTTGCTGAAAGGGAAAGTAAAATGGCGATCGGCAGACTTTCTAGCGTTTTTTTTTTTCGGAAAGTTAGAATGGCGATCGGCTTTTTTACCTTCTCTCTTTTTTCTTTCTTCTTTTTAAGGAATTTTTGTTGTTTAATTTTCTAAACATTATTGTTCTGGTCTGATTTTTTGTTTTTGCTTTTTGTATTTTTAAAAGGCAGGCATTTTGGTTTTCCCCCCCCCTTCTTTTTTTCACTTTAACGATTGGAGTGTATATTCTAATTTCTTTTATTGATTTATTTTTCGCCTTCTTTGATTTTATTTTAAATCCAAAGGTTTATTGTTTTGTTTATAGTCCTTTTTTTCTACTATTTGCTTTTCTGTTGAAAGAGAAAGCAAATGGCGATCGGGAGATCTTCTAGCGTTTTTTTGGGAAGCTAGAGTGGCGATCGGCTTTTTTTTTACTTTCTCCTTTTTTTTTCTTTTTGATGGATTTTAGAAGTATTATTATTGTTTTGGTTTGATTTGTTGCTTTGTCTTTTGTATTTTTTGTTTTGCTTTTTGTAAAGGGCAGGCATTATTTTTAAAAGGCAGGCATTTTGGTTTCCCCCCCCCCTTTTTTTTTCCTACTTTAATGATTGGAGTGTATACTTTAACTTTTTGTTTTGGTTTGATTTGTGGTTTTGTCTCTTGTATTTTTAAAAGGGCAGGCATTCTGGTTTTTTCCTTCCCCTTTTTCTTTTTTTTTTTTCATTTTGTATATCTTAATTTTTTTTTATTTTTTTTTCTTCTTTTCTAACTCCCTTTTTTATTCTTTTATTTTTCTTATTATTTTAAAGATTTTTCTTTGAGGGAGTTATGATTTTCTTTTGAAGGAATTTTTGTAATTTTTAAGAAGGAGTAAAGTTTTTTTTTAAGATGGCTCCAAAGCGTCCAGTGAATTTCACAGTTCCTAAATCTTCTGTGGCTCAGCCAACAACTGTGAAGGATATGCAACAAATGATGGAAAATTTTACAATTCAAATTAGGGCAGAAATGAAAAAGATTTTGGAAGAAAATAATAAGATTTTGAGGCAAGACATAGTTTTGGCTCTAAAAGGAGTTGCTTCTGTTCTTGAAAAGTTGAATTCCCATGTGGAAGAAGTAGCTGAAAAAGTGGAATTAATGGAGGGGAAAATTGAAAGTATGGAAAAAGAAATGGAAAATGAGATTCTTATGCTTCAATATGGTCAAATGGAATACGCCTTAAGAATTAGGGGCTTGGAAGAGTCCTTGCAAGAAGATCTGAAAGAGATGGTTGCAAAGGACTTTGCTGTAATTTTGAATAAAGAAAAAGAAGGAATACTTAGTGAAATTGAAAAACTATTTAGAGTTAATTCTGCGGTGGCAGTACAAAAGAATTTGCCAAGAGATGTGGTAATTTACTTTGGGAAGAAATCTTTACGCAATGAAATTATACAAGCTTTTTATAAGAAGAGATTTCAAATTGCTTCACAAGATGTTATAATTTTAAAGGAGATCCCATCTAAAATTTTAAGAAGAAGAAAGGAGTTTGCCTTTTTAGCAAATGAACTTAAAATGAGACGAATTTCGTTTAGATGGGATGTTCCGATTGGAATGGTGGTGAATTACCTGGGAATATGTTATAGACTTAATACTGTTTCTCAAGCAAAAGATTTTTATACTTCAGTATTGGGGGTATGTTCATCTCCATCTATTAAGTTCAAGACTTTGGAAGAAATGGATGTAGAATTACAGTTTGAAGACTCTAAAATTGGGCAACCCCTGTTTAAGAGATCTCAACATGTTCAGATTGAGGAGCAGGAGACAACCTGTGTAGCACAAAACTGTAAAGAAAAGCAGCAACTGAAGAAGAGTAATGAAATTTCACACCTAGTGATTGCTGATTCTGTGGGAGAAGCAAGACCCATAAATCCTTTGGAGCAATCTTCAAGGATGGAAGGGTCACTTGAGATGAAAAAGGGGAAATTTCAGCCTGAGGGGCGTCAACAAGTTGAGAAGAAGGGGCAGAGGAAAATCTGTGCAACATATAATTGTAAAGAAAAAGACCAACAGAATAAGGAGCTTAAGGAATCCCCACATGTACTGGCTTCTGAGTCATTGGGAGACTCAGAAAATTTGGAGCAGCTTTTGAGGACAGATCCTAAAGCATTTGTTTTAAGCTTTATAACGAAAATGGACAATCGAGGCTGACGATAATAATATCAGTATGATAATGAATGGAGAATGAAAATGGACAATTGAGATTGATAAGGACTGGGTTTTTTGTGGTTGCAACTTGTTATTGATGAAGATTTGAATATCTATTGTGTTTATGGTGGATGGAATTTGTTATAGTGTTTTTTGTGGGTGGAATTTGTTATAAACTGTCTACTTTGGATGGAATCTGATAAGATTTAAATGAGTATAAAGGTGTCTTGTTTCCTTTTTTCCTTCTTTAAGTTTTAAGTAATGTATAAATTTGTGTTTTGGGGGAGTTTATGAAAATGATAATAATATTTATGATATTAGAAGGATTGGAGTATATTACAATGTGTTTAGTGTTTGGGTGGGGTTTTTAATGTTTAAAGTTTTAAGTAATGTTCAGATTTGTGTTTTTGATTGATTATAATTTGTTTGTTCTAATGTTTCAAGTTCTGATTGTTTAAATTTGTGTTTTGGAGGGACTATAACTTGTTTAACTAAATGTATTTAGATTTGTTTATGATTTATGCTAGACTTTATATTGTAGTTATAGATGTTTAAAGAAAGTAGTGTTTAAAATTGGTCTTGGAAGAAATTTATGTAGAAGGATGGATAATATTATAAGTAAGATTAGAAGATTTTTAGAGTATATTATAATGTGTCTATTATTATTTTCTAGAAATAATTCATTTAATTTAAGGTATTTAGGATTGTTTAGGATTTATAGGTGTTTTAAGTTTTATATGTGTTTTAAGTTTTTTTTCTTTTTTTTCTTTTGAAATATTTTGGATAAGCCTGTAATCAACTCTGGGAGGTTCAGGGGAGGGTTAGGGAGGTTTGGGGCTGGGGGAGGGTATGGGTGGGTGGGCGGGTTTGGGGAGGGGATTTATTTTGTAAAATGTTAAAAATTTTCAATTAAAAAAAAAAAAAAAAGATTATTTAGTTAGTGCTGTACAAATGCCATTGCATCAAATAATGTAATGCATTTTGTAAGTTTTTCAATGTATATAAATATATATATATATACTATTACCAGTGCTATTGATTCAAATGTAGAGGTACTTCAGAAGACCTAAGTGATTCCTTTTTGAAAAAAGGTTTATGTTCTTCAATATATTTTCACTGGGATCTTTATTTGCCAGTTTTAGAAACCAATTGGGAAATTGGGCTTCTTTAAATTTATTGATAATAGTTTTTGCTCTCTATTTTCAAAGATTCTAATACAATAAATCTACATATAATTGTAGATGTCTGAGTAGTTATGCAGTATTGAAAAAGATAACTCATTATGTTTTTTCCTCCTTGGTAATATTTGCTCATTTAAAAGAAGTGATATTTTGCTGGTAGAAATAATTGTTTGTAAATGCAGAAAAAGTATGAATCCTTTTTGTAATGAAAGAGTTATATAAATTTAGTATATCATCTTTGTTTAACAAGTCATATTTGTAAAAGAAACCCAGTCATACAGAACTTGTGATAAACACATGAGGGTATGTATTGAAATCACCAGTTTCCATTAATAAGAAAATGAAATTAAGCTTATTCCTGTTTCTTTTGCCATGTTTCTAGAAATAGTTTAGTAAATAAACTTAAGATTTTTTTTTTTTTAAAAAAAAGCCTATTGAACATGAAGTCTCATATTTAAAAACCCACATTTGTCAATTTTTGTACCTGGCAGCTTCACTAAAATAACATGTCTTATTTTCCTTAAGAACTCTGTTGATATACTATTCAGTCACTTAGACTGAACTTTATTTAGAATTTATTTAGAAGGAACAAACAAATGGCCAATTCAGTTCTATATTGGACATTACAGTTTGTATATATACTGGACATTTTGTATAAATATAGAAACTTGTACAAAGAAATCTAATTCTTTATTCTGATACCAAATAAAAGAGCATTCAGTTTTCCTGATCTACCTTCTTAGAGGTTTACTGTATATCACCATAGTATAGGAAATTATATTAGGTCAGTCATTTTATCAATTTGGATCTGTACTGAGTTTTCTGGGAGTGCTCACAGTAATTGGAAATGTACCAAGAGGTATTTTTCTTCTGCTTAAAAACTTCAGGAAAGATTGGAAAAGTTTAAGGAGCAATAGGAGGATTTTTCTAATCCACTAACATTGTAATTTTCTAAGCCACTAACATTATAATTTTTATCCATTGTTTACCATGTTTGCTTTTTCATATTAGACATGATCAAAACCTAATTTTTCTAGAATAATATTCATAAATCTCAATGTTGACTTTCTACTGAAACTAATTTGCAAGAGAAAAGAAAATATAGTACCAAAATAATTGTAGTTGGTAATATTTTGTAATTTACAAAGAGTGTATGATTTCTAATGTTGATAAATATTGTGGATCTATTAGGAATATTTCACCAGACTAGAAGGATCTCCTGAACTCTTCTTTAAGGGAAGAACAAAACGGAAATCATTGTTTTGACTAAAGTAAGCCAAGATTCTTGCAAAAAGAATAACGGAGCTGAATGCTGTTTAGTGAAGTTAATTCAAATGCCCCATGTATCAGTAGTGGAATTTTGCTGGTGGAGGAGTTCTTCAGAGAATTCTTGATGTATTGATTATGTGGTTGCCAACAATTTCCATTCTCCTTTCTAGAGTTGAATCTGAGAAAATGGTGGAAATTGTTGCTCAAATAGCTAAAATGATCCCTATTCACTTTTAGAAATTCAAAATAAAAATGTAGTGATGTGCCAGAGCTCTTGCAGGGCAGATTATAATAGTTGATAACAGATATTATATAATTGTTCTTTCAACAGGTTTCAATATCAGAGAAATGAATTACATTAAGCTTTTTGAAAAATTAACAGTAATATGACATTCTACAGTGCAGAATTTAATTGTTCAGTTCAATTCTAATGTTCCTTCCTATTCTAAAAAGTAAGAAAAGTAAAATGCAAGTAAATGCCAGTTAAAAATCCATTGCTGAAATATTGGATGACTGATTCTATTTTTTATTTTAAATTGTAACTGGATAAATTATATTTAGGAATATTTTTATCCATTTATAAACTGCTTCCATGGAGTAGCTTGCTTCCAGAAATCTGAATAGCATCCCCCCTGAAGAAAACTGTTTCAGAGGTTTTGATGGATGAGAGGCTGGTGTGGAATTCAAGCTTGCATTAAGGATAATAGAATTGTTCATATGGTTTTATGTATTCTATAAATTTCTATAAAGTTTTAGAAGTTGATAACATAGAAATGATGTAAATAAAGAAGTAACATTTTATAATTATAGCATCTAAATTAATAATTTTCTTTAGCTGAGGCTGAGAAAATGTATGTTTCAGCTTGAGCTAGATCTCCTAATGAATATTACTAGACTTTTTAGTGAAAATTAGACTATTAAGGACAGATATAAAATTGATTTTTTATGAAAGGAATACATTTTTCAATGAGGTAATCTCAAATTTTTTCTTTGCAGGTGTGGAGGCACGGTAGCTGCAATCCTGACATGTCCACTAGAAGTTCTGAAAACACGATTGCAATCATCTTCTATTACTCTCTACATTTCTGAAGTTCAGTTAAATACTGTGAATGGTGCAAGTGTTAATCGAGTTTCCCCACGGGCTTTCCATTGCTTTAAGTGAGCACCTATTTCTTCCTATTTCTTTTTCTCTTAAATAAGGAAGACTTGGTAGAGAACAAGTTTAGATGTTTTATAGATATTTTGTACCTCCCATCAACTCAAGCCATTTAGTAAAATAGCTAAAAATTATGGACATGGAATCTAACTTTGAATAGTATCAAATTACCTATTACCAGTCCACAAATTAATTTTAAGTATCTTACAAGAACAAATTCTAAAAGGCAAAATTAACAAATGTACTCTCAAGTGAAGTTCAGCTGTCCATATTATCATTTTTATCTTGATACCTACTCCTTTAGTTTGCAAAGTAGTGTTTCACAAGTTTTTGATATTATGGTTGATATTCACTTTTGAAATCTTGTGGAAAATGATTTCTTCAGTCATAAGAATTATTTCTGTTTTATTTATTTACATGATATATGTCAAGTCCAGGAACTAAAGACCTTGGAAAACTAGCCAGCATTATCCTTTATTTAAATCCTTTATTTAGGACAGTGGTTCTCAACCTGTGGGTCGGAACCCCATTTGGGGTCGAACGACCATTTCACGGGGGTCGCCAAACAACGCAGTCCGCCATTTTTTTCCCCTTTTCCTTAGCTGTGCTACTCCCTTTTATTCTATTATTGGCTTTTGAAAGCCAATAGAATAGACTTTCTTGAATAGAGTCTAATTCTATTGGCTTTCAAAAGCCAATAGGAATTGTCCAGGATGTCTCTGCCCTGCTGAGCCTGCCAAAAGTCCCATTCTGCAAATGGTGCTACACCAGTTGAGTAGTCCTCGACTTACGACCGGTTGAGTAGTCCTCGACTTACGACCGGTTGGGGGTCGCAGCATTAAAAAGGTTGAGAACCACTGATTTAGGATATGTGATCCAACTGAACCAGAATATGTGCTGCCAGCCAAAAACCGTCCATCTTAATCTTGCTGAATTAAAAGGAAAGCTGTCTGATTACTGTGTTATAATGTATTTATGGATAAATCAGACGTTACCATCTTAATTTCCTTCACATTGCTATTTTGAATATTAAGAGTGATATGTGCTAGATATCTTGCCTTTTGTGGATTTCAGCAATTAGTTTTAAAATAATAATAACAATTGTAGTAGTAGTAGTAATAGAGTTGGAAGGGACCTTGGAGGTCTTCTAGTCCAACCCCCTGCTCAGGCAGGAAATCCTATATCATTTCAGACAAATGTTTGTCCAGTCTCTTCTTAAAAACTTCCAGTGTTGGAGCATTTACAACTTCTGGAGTCAGGTTGTTCCACTGATTAATTGTTCTAACTGTCAGGAAATTTCTCCTTAGTTCTAGGTTGCTTCTCTCTTTGATTAGTTTCCATTCATTGCTTCTTCTCTTGCCTTCAGGTGCTTTGGACAATAGCTTGACTCCCTCTTTTTTGTGGCAAATCCTGAGATATTGGAACACTGCTATCATGTCACCCCTTATCCTTCTCTTCATTAAACTAGACATACTCAATTCCAGCAACCGTTCTTTATATGTTTTAGCCTCCAGTCCCCTAATCATCTTTGTTGCTTTTCTCTGTACTCTTTCTAGAGTCTCAGCATCTTTTTTACATTGTGGTGACCAAAACTGGATGCATATTCCAAGTGTGACTTTACCAAGGCGTTATAAAGTGGTATTAATACTTCATGTGATCTTGATTCTATCCCCCCGTTAATGCAGCCTAGCACTGTGTTGGCTTTTTTGGCAGCTGCAGCACACTGCTGGCTCATATTTAAGTGATTGTCAACTAGGAATCCGAGATCCCTCTCACAGTTACTACTACTGAGCCAGGTACCACATATACTGTATCTGTGCATTTGGTTTTTCTTGCCTAAATGTAGAACCTTATCTTTTTCACCATTGAATTTCATTTTGTTAGATAGCGCCCAGTGTTCAAGTTTATCAAGATCTTCCTGTATCTTAAGCCTATATTTTGGAGTGTTGGCTATTCCTGCCAGCTTGGTGTCATCTGCAAATTTGATGAGTTCCCCATCTATCCCCCCGCCCAAATCATTGATGAAGATGTTGAAGAGCACTGGGCCCAGAACAGAGTACTGGGGCACCCCACTACACACTTCCTTTCATGTAGAGGCAGTTCCATTGAGGACCACACGCTAGCTCACATTTTTCTATCTTATCAAGTAGTAGATTGTGATCTATTTTATCAAATGCCTTACTGAAATCCAAGTAAATTATATCCACAGCATTCTTCTGGTCCACTAATTGTCACCTGGTCAAAGAATGCAATAAGAGTTATCTGGCATGATGTGTTTGTGGCAAACCCATGTTGGCTTTTGGTAATGACTTTGTTTGCCTCTAGGTCAGTGGTGGTGAACCTATGGCACGCGTGCCAGAGGCGGCACTCTCTGTGGGCACCCACATGTCCCAGCAGAGTTTGCCAGAGTAGCGAGCATGTGGCATTTGGAAGCGACAGGGCAGGAAGTAAGCGAGCAAGTGGCATTGGGCCCCCCCTGGGGATGCCCCGGAGATGGCGAGGCCCTGGCTACCCCCCAGTCTGCTGTGACCACTGCAGCCACACCCGCCCAGTGGGCCATGCCCCCCGCCCCCCCTGAGGGCACCACAATGCTGATGCAGCCCTGGCACTTTGCAATAAATAAGTGGGTTTTGGGTTGCAGTTTGGGCACTCAGTCTCTAAAAGGTTCGCCATCACTGCTCTAGGTGTTCGTTGATTCGTTGTTTGATTATCTTTTCCAGAATCTTCCGAGGTATTGAGGTCAGGCTGAGAGGTCTGTGGTTTTCTGGGTCCATTTTTTTTCCTTTTTTGAAGATGGGAACTACATCAGCTCTTTTCCAGTCCTCTGGTAGTTCCCCAGTACTCCAGGATCTTTGAAAGATATAGTTCAGTGGTTCTGAGATCACATCTGCCAGTTAAAGACAGATGCAAAAAACAAGCTAACTAGTTCTGCTTTCTCCCTGTTGCTTGTCACCTTAATGCCACTTTCTCCCATTAATGGACCAATCATTTTTTTAACTTTTTCTTTTACAGGCCGAAAGAAGCTTTTTTTTACTTTTGTCACAAGCCTCAGTTCATTTTTAGCCTTAGCTTTCCCTACTTCATCTTGGAGCCTCAGGCTACTTGCTGATATTTTGCCTTTGTTATTTCCTCTTTTTATACTTGTCTCTTTTATCTTTCAATTTATCAGCTAGTTCTTTATGCAGCCATGCTGGTTTCTTTTGAGAGCTGTTATTTTTCTTCTTCGTTGGTATTTGGTTAGATTGGGCTTTTATAATTTCACTTTTCAAAATTTCCCAAGATGCTTGAGTTGTTTTTCCCTTGAAGATTCTTATCCATGGAATCCTTTCGAAGCTCTCTCTAAGTTTATTGAAATTAACTCTCTTAAAGTCCAAGACTCTAGTTTGACTATGTTCTACTGCTTGTGCTTGCATATTGTTGAATTCCAATATTGCATGATCACTCCCCTTCCAAGGTTCCTATGGTTTCAACACCTTCTATCATTTCATCTCTGTTAGTGAGAATTAAGTTCAATATGGCTGATCCCCTAGTTCCCTTCTCTACTTTTTGGAAGATAAAGTTGTCTGCTAGGTTTGTCAGGAATCTGTTTGATCTTTCGCTTGGTGCAGAGTTTGTCTCCCAGTTGATTTCAGGGTAATTAAAGTCCCCCTTTACTATTGTGATATGCTTCCTACATACCTTAAGTTAGCTGACTAGCAAAACATTCATCTATTTCCTCTGGGTGGGTGGGTGGCCTATAGTATACACCTATGGCAATATCATTTTTTCCCCTTTTATATTGACCCAAATGTATTCAAGACAGTTTTCATCATCGTAGTGCTCTATTTCTGTAGAGATGTAGTTATTTCTTATATAGAGAGCAACTCCACCTCCTCTTTTATTTGGTCTGTTTCTTTTAAATAATTTAAATCCTTCTAGCTGTGTATTCCATTTGTGGGTTTCATCCCACCAAGTTTCCGTAATGGCAACAATATAATATCTGCCTACATTTAGCTGAATTTCTAATTCACTGTTTATTGGTCATACTCCGTGTGTTCGTGTATAAACATTTATGACTGACCTTAATAACTAGAAACAATCTGATATTTCTAAAAAGGTTCTCTTTTCTCAACTACATGTTTTATTTTTGTTACTGAAACATGTAATTATTTTGGTTTATTCATAAACTCATTTGATTTTATAAACGTCTTCAGCTGCAGCCAATATGTCTCTTCTATGTCTACAACCCGGAGATTTACAATAGCTTTTTAAGGTGTTCAGAAATAAGTATCTCTGTTCTTTAAATCCTGATTTTCCACCCTGAGTAGGGAGATTTAAAAGTATTTTGAAAGGATCTTTCACATTGGTGGAATGTGAGCAAAATTAGTTAAGGATTTCTTTCTGTTTGTATTCAAATGCATTAATATAAAGCCTCCTTCAGATATTTTCCCCCAATTTTAAAAAGCCAATGACTTAATAAGTGGGAATTTGGGAAAGTGGGATTGGGTTTGCATGTATATCAATGTTCCTGGTCAGTCATTACCTCAGTCTATTAATAAAGCCAATAATGATTTACCATTTGATGCGTTTAAGACAGCAATCCATAAATGATTGGCAGTCTTCTGTAACTAGCAAAGATAGTTCAGTTAAGCTAGGAATTAAATGTTATATTGGGCACCATTTTGAAGTTTCCTAGAATTCCTCAAACACTGCAGTTTGAAAAAACTTTCCAAAATTTACAGATGAATTATATTTAATTCGAAAGAAATACATGAAGAGCATACATGCATCAACTATAGTTAAATTAACAGTAGAAAATTAATATTCTTGTTGATCTTGTTTGTCTTGTATGCTGATACACCTGATGGCAAAATCATACCTTAACTCTCTAAATAATTAAAGGTGCATGATCATTCAGGAATGCAGTTGCATAACATATTTCAGATCTCTGAATTTTGATCATGTGGATTAAAAACATTGTGGAAACCAAGTTTGTTTATAAGCAATTCTTATAAGAGGAAACTTCATATTTTGTCTGTACAATTAGAGGAGAAATTGGGAGGGCCTTTTACTTCCAATATTGTTACCAAGAATTAATACTGACATTTGAAACGATTATAATTTGTTGCATAATGCTGTTGGGCTGTTCGATTTAAACAGTTTCAAGTGAAGTGGTATTTTTTTTTAAACACTGTTTGCAGTTTGCTCAATCTTCATGTCATCAACCTGTATTTCTATTTGTACAAGAAATACTTTAAAGACATTCCGATAATACAGAACACTATTGATAAATATGCTCCAGTGTATAGCATGTTTATATTAGATAATGTTAATTTTCTAAACTAGCTCTGAAAATATTCAGGAAACACGGTATTTTAACAATTAAAACTAAATAACACTTCAGTGGCATTGTATGGGTCACCAGTAATAAGCTGGACAAATATTAAAAGAAGTTCTTTAGAAAGCCAACTGGTTCAAACAAAGTGAAGCATTTAATCAATTGTCTCCTGCAAAGCTAAGTGAAGCTGGTCCAGGAGATTTCCTATCTTGTCTTCACAGCGCTGAACATGAATATTTTCTCTGCTTCGTGGGCAAAGCCCAGAAGTGTTCTCTTTCTTTTACATACACGTGCACATGCAAACAGCTCAGAAAACTATCGCACACAGTTGATAGTACTGATTGTTTTATATCAGTGCTGGTGAACCTTTTAGAGACCCATCCTGCCTTCATCCCACTCACCCTGCCTCGCCCGTCCGCAGGGCCATTCGCCTGCATGGCCTGCCGCAGATCTCTCAGGTGGACCAGCAACACCATGGCCATGCCCTCTGCCTGTGCACCACAGCATCATCTGCACGTGACAGGGCGCGAGGGCGGAATCTTGTCCCTGCTGCCCAGCTGCCATGTCCTTGGCTGCACTGCTCATGGGCTGTGCTTGGGGCAACCCTCCTCTGACTGGGCTGCAGGGGAAGGCGGGTCTGGGCGACAGCACACATGCCCATAGAGACGGCTTTGAGTGCTGCCTCTGGCATGCGTGCCATAGGTTCGCCATCACTGTTCTATACCACACAGAAAGTTGAGGTAAAAATGTAGTTGCCAGAGACAAGCAATGCTGTAGGTTGCTAGTTTTGCAACATCACAGCTTCTCCCTGGATCACTGGCATTCTGAAGTGGTATTGAGTTATATTTCATATAGAAACCACAACATTTGTATAACATATTCTGTAGACTGTATTAACTGTTCACTGGAACTCTCCATCTGATCTTAAATCTACCTTATGGTATCATATATGTGCTTCTTTCACAGGATGATCTTACAAAATGAGGGTCCTCGGTCATTTTTCAGAGGACTAGGTCCTAACTTGGTAGGCGTGGCTCCTTCCAGGTAAACTGAAAAATACGTTTATTTGGATTATTTCATCTGATAATAGAAATTTGTAATGCTTTTCATTATTTTGAAGTCACTGGACAATATATTCCTTTTTTAGAAAGCTATTTCTCTATCCTTATTAGCACTATTCAGTGACAATTATGGAACTTTCAGTTGAAGTATGATGCAAACTCTCATTTTACTCTTTATAATTCATCTTATGAATTCTGGCAAAAATGCCAACCATGTAAACTTGCGTCATACTCTCAAGTTAAAATACACTATAATTGGAAGCCATATAAACAACAATATATATCCTAATATCTGTTATTGTATTTTTTTCTAATTTGAGAATTGAAATTTTCTGTAAACGTCATTTATTCTTGCAACTATATAACTGAGATATATACATAAATACATATATAGTTAATTTTAATTTTACAATGCTTAATAAAATAGGTACATGCCATTTTATTTAGGATAATTCAAGAAAAAATTTGATTCATGTAATCAGAATATCAGTTCCCTATAATTCACATTGTACAAAATAAGCTCAGAGTGCTAGTCAATATAGAATTTTGTGTAGATATTAGGTTCGTTATCCCTTTATGGAAGATAATAAATGTGTGGAATGAACTATGAAAAAGAAACTGTAATGGCAGAGGAGGAAACATGCCAAGAAACAATTATTCTGTGAAAGAGTCATATGCCTACCTGCCCCGTTTGAGTGCATACTACAGCATGCTAAAATGGATTATCCTCTGAGTTAACTTCAGTCATTGTTTGCAGGAAAGAAGAAACTTGAATAATCCAGGCAGGTCCAATTTGCAATTTATCCACTTGTGTCAAAGTTTTTAGACACCAAGAGTTGATTCAACATGATTCCCTTTAGATGCTTGCATTGGAGACAAATAATATTACTTTAGTCTTGTTATGGATATGGCTGTACTTAAGGTTCTCATAATACTATGAAGGACTACTTTTGTAGCATCGTAAACTGTCATCAAATTAATAAAAAATATGTACACTTGACAGATTTAAGTTCACCATGTCCTTTCACTGGGTATATATGTTTAATAAAGATTTCAGTAGAGGATTAAAGTTGTGATTTTGGCTATTATTGTCTGTGAGTGAATTTTAAAAGAAATGTAAACCTTAGCCAGGAGTAAGGCAGATTACTTATTAATGAAATTCCCTAATAAGCAGTTAGTTTATTTAATCCATTATACACTGCATTTGAGAAAAAGGAGGCAAAAAATAAACCTTTATATGAGCTAGAATGTACTTATAAGTAAGATAAAACAACACTTGAATAGAATATTAAAAATAGAAATCAGAAGGTTGGAGAGAAATGGGAATTAGCCTGAAAAATATATTATCCAGTTTGTATGTTTCTCTCACCTACGAGTACAAATATAATTGTGGACTTTCTCCCAATTTTTGTATTATGCTTGTCCATTTGCTTATGTATTCTTGGGGTTATGAATAAATTCTAATCCTTTTTTTTTCAAGTCATCAACCTTGTACAAATACATTTATGTTTCATTTAAACATTGCTGAGTAGCTTTAACAGCATTTCCCTATTTGAATAAGACATAATGAGGCCTGTTTTATAACATATATAGCATACACCACTGATTTCAAATTCTCTGTTGCTAACTACATCACGTAAAACAACCACTTTATCACATTTTGTGAAAGGCCACATGTTTGCAAAGCTAATGGCATTAACTTAATGTTCTGATGTGTGAACTCATTTATTCAGATCATAACTCCTGTTGATAGCATTTTCCAAACTACCAGTACAAAGATGTTATGGCAAAATAATAATTTAATTTATTCTTGATTATTAAGTTCATTTTAAAAGTCTATATAAATTAAAATAATATCATTAAATGTTCAATGTTGTTATAGTAATATACCCAACTATTGGATATAGTAGAATACTAGTCCCTAGCATTCATATTTTAATACTTCAGTGGTATGACCAAATACTTCCTTTTTTAAATATTGAAAGTTTAGAGTAGCAGTTCTTAAACTTAAATGAACATTCAGAAAATGCAAGGGCCATCCAGTTACACACATACACATACACACAAAACCTTAATACAATTTACTAAAGAATACTATTCAATAGAAATCTCTGAATATTAAGTCTACAGGTATCTTGCTTAATAACTTCTCATTTTTTGTAGCTTAAATCTCTTATTACTTTTTTCTCTTTGAATTGCTTTCAATCAGACATAATTACACTTAGTTGAACATATGTGAACCTCCAGAATGTTAACTGCACTGGACAGTTCTTAGTTACTTGAAATTGAGTGTTCATGAGCATTTATATTATCACTTGCCTGCATTGATGAACCAATTTTCTGACACTGATCTATTCTCACAAACCAGCTGATGAGCAGAGAGCACTTGGGGAGGCAGAAGTAGAGGTGGAAAGCAAGATTTTACTAGCTGTCAGTGTATGTGAAGAGGTGAAGCTGAGGTGGTGAATGGATTCTCATCAGTTCACTTGCATTAGCTGAGAAACTGCACCTCCACACCCAAGAAACATTAGTGTGGAACATTGTTTCTTACTGTAACGTAACTATTAATATTGGTACAATGGCAGAACTATGTTGTGGTTAACTGTTTTTGTTCTACTTTTAGAGCGCTATATTTTGCAACTTATTCCAAGTCCAAAGAAATTATGAATAACATATTTGAGCCAGATTCTACTCAAGTACATATGACTTCAGCTGGAGTGGCAGGTAAGGATTTTTGAATCTTGCTTTAATCTCTTGAAAAGCTATTAATGGAATGACTGCAGTAATAAATGAACCCTAAAGAAGTAATGGAAATAGACAATTCAGAATATAATGAAAATACAATGACTAAAATACTGTTTATGAAAATCAACTGATGATGTATAAATGCTTGCTACAAGCATTAACAGAAGATTGAGTTAGAAAGTATTTTATTTTCTTCATAACTCCAAGTTAGTGAATCATGTAGACACAGTTTGTAGGACTATTTAGTGATTTGGAGTAAGGAAAAAGTGACTTGTAGCATGCAGGAGTATCACATTTCCATTAACTCTTTAAAAAAGTTGTATTATTTCCTGGGCTTAAAAAACGTAGCCGCATAATTGCAGGAATATATATGTGTGTGTGTGTGTGTGTGTGTGTGTGTGTGTGTGTTTTCTGAGGTTTTCAGACCTACATATATATATATATATATATGCTCTTTAAGAGGTGCCAACAGATACATGTGCTCACTTAAGTATGATCCAGTGTACCATTTCCCTTTGAATCTTGATCAGTGCATAATTCTATTAAGCTAAGCAAATTTTATATGGAATAAAGGAACCTCTCTTTTTTCCTCTTTATTGACAGACTTTCTATTGCAAACTTCTTCCTCTGATAAACCACCTGCAATATCTTCTTTGTACACTTTCATAAGGGAGCAAGAAAACAAGCAAAATTTTTCCTTTTGGCGGCGGCAGGGGGGAGGATATAAGAATAAGTTTCTTATGAAAGGGAGGAGATTAAAAAGTACACTCCAACATAATTATTTACATGTTTATTCAAAATTAATAATAGAATTCATGGAGTTGCACTTCTAATAGTTATCTGGTGGTAAACCCCATATGATTTCTGAGGCATCTGATGAGAAAATGTAAGATTGTATTATTTTAGAATAAGTGTTTCAATTAATGGCTTACACAATAGGTTCTATGTATATCAGAGTCCTGACATATTTGGGAGACAAAAATGCCCATTATAATTAATAAGCATAGTTAATCTTCTGTCTTATTATTTTGGAGAATAGAAGTTTAAATTTTAAGTAGCTCTTTGTTATGCATTCTTTTAAAGAAATCCATGGGGAAGGGGCAACAGTGCAATTGAGGATTCATTTAAAACTGTACATTGATTTAGAGATTGTTACCTGTCTTCTTTTTTTCCCAGAAGTTAAAAAGAAATTAAATTTCTCTTGACAAAGAACAGAGCAGAAGATGAAAATGGATTAGTAATATTTTAACAGAAAATGACCCTCTGTTTATTACACATTAATAGTTGTTTGGAATTAGCTTAAATATTAATTACCTGGTTGTCATAATGATTGTTGTAAATATGCATAGAAAATGTAGAAAACTGATTTGTTGCCAAATTTCATATCTACATGCAAATCCAGTTTGCCCATCCAGCAGTATTTCTGATATTATGATTTGAATTATTTGTATGAAAATTCTTTTAAATCTATTTAATTACTTAGTTTTTCATAGCTGTCACTTTGAGACAAATATGCTTTTTTCTACTTTTAATATAAAAAGCTACCTCTTTTGAATTTCTGTGATTCTGTTTTATTACATGAAAGTATCTTGTTCATGTGCTTACAAAAAATTGACTGGCAATAATGTTCAGCTTTGCAGTTACATACCTAAACAACATTGTTGGTGCAAAAGAATGTTCTGTGCATATTGGCTTTGAAGGTAGCTACTTTCCCTTTGAACTAGCATAGTTTTAGGATGTTAGAAATCCCATAGATTGCATATGAAAAATTCTTAAATACATATAAAACCACTGACATATAATTTTGGCTGTATTGTCACATAACTAATATAAAAAGCATATGAGAAAAATGCTAACCTTGTCATTTTTGCTTTTTAAAATGCTTCCTTATTGTATTAAATTAAACTATTAACAATTCTGCCTGCAAGATACATTTTAGCTTAGAGCTACTAGTACAGAGAAGAATACATGGAATGAAGGAAGAAAGAAATACCATATTAGACTTTCTGCATACAAATATTTTTTTAAAATCTTTCACAGAGTATGAATTGTTTCTTAACTTTCTTAATCGTGTACTTTTTTGGTAATTTTTTAAAAGAAATATTGTTTAATGTACAGATAGTAATTTTTACAAAAGCTAAGTAAATTTATCAAAGCTTAAAAATTACATGTTTAGTGGCTAGTACGTCTTAATATTTAGTTATCCAATAAGAAATATTTTGTTAGACATTGTATTATGGATATTAATCAGTGCATTCTTGGTGAGCAAAATGTATATTTACTATTCAGTTCAGGCAAATGTGATGTTACAAATCCAGAAAAATCTTGAACATCTATTCTGATCGTATTACAGAAACTAGATGAAGCACTGTAATTTTGTTAAATATGACTCTAGTCATATTTATGCTGTTCTATGTAGCAGCCCAACTGTAACACTATCAGATACAGACATATGCTAAATACAGATGACATTCTGCCACCATGGTATAGCTGTATGCACATTTTCTATGGATGGGTAACAGGAACAGTATTATCAAGTGAATACCTATTCCACTAAAAGATTTTCTATTCCTGAATCGATACAATACCTTTGCTAATTTGTTGAATATGATATTGCAGCTGTTATGTGATACAGTTCTGTGCAAATTATTTTAAAAATGCTGGCTTAGGTTTTTCCAGGTAGCATTGGCCATATATACAACATGTATACATTAAAGCTTTTGTTTTCTGAGAAAATATTTCTCTTACACCAATTCTAATATGAAACAGAAATTATTATAATATTATATCACTATGTGTCTAGTTTTGTAAGTCATTGGCTTTTCCCACTAGTCATCTTCTTGATGTATTTTATATAGCAGCAACAGAATTTATAGTTTTGAATTTAAAAAATTCTTTCACAATAAATCTGCTTTCATATTTGTTTAAACACCTGTTTTGAAAAAGGAGATAAATAGTGAGAAAAATATGGTTTTTCTCATTTTTTACTCTTTGCTAATGCTTTTAATAATGTTAAAACTAGCTTGATTTGTAGTAGCAAAGTTCAGGGATGACTTCATATTCAAAATGACATCTCAGCATTATATTATTTCTGATGACAAGGTTAGCATTTTAAATTATTTTTAAAACAAGCCAAAGCAATACTTGTGTTTTTTTAAAGTTCATAGGTAAGTATTTTATGATATAAAATGGTTAAATTGCTGCAGATGTCAAAAATTTCAGTACTCAGTGCATTTTACAACCCCCTTTTTTAAAATATTTGTGGCCTGTATTCTTTTTTATTTTTTACTGTTGCTAAACTTTTAAAAATTAGATCTCACCTTTTATTAAGTTACAAACCCTTCCAATGGGATTCAGTTTTGCACATGTATCTGATGAGGTCACTGCTTGTTGTTATGATACAGAAAAGCCTGTGTCTATTTTAGGCATTTACTGTACATTTCTCCCGTGAAAGAGTGAGATCGTGTCATCTCATGGTCCCCATCCGCAGGTCAGTTCCTGCAGAAATATGGACTAACTTAAATCTCGTGAGTACTGAACTGAGCATCTCTTGCAGCCTGTAGTGTAAGAACCAGAGTTTGGGTTTGTAACCACACTTAAAGAAACAGAGTAAGGGGAATCTTTATTTCTGACTCCAGTTGTATATAATGTTCACTCAGCTGTTTCATTCAGTCAGTTTGGGGAGAGGTGGAAAACCTTTTAGTCAACTGGTATAAAATTAACCTAATTTGGTTAGTAAGCTCTCTTTTTGATAATATACAGAATTTACACAGAAATTTCTGTGTAAATTTTGTAGTTATTCACAACTGCACCTAAATAGCATTGCAGTTAATTGAATTCATTGATCAGAGCCTTTTTTCCTTTAAAAACAGAGTTTAGCATTACTTATATTCATACTGATTTATCAATTCAGTTTGTCTCAGAAAGAAAGTCAGCACAAATAATTCCTGGGATCTTGAGATATTTTAATTGAAACATTGGGTATATTTTCCTCTAAAAATCTTCTGATGTGTACTTGCTATTTGCAGTAGTCAGAGTTTTCAGCCAATAGTTTTCAGAATTAAATAAGTTCACAGTACAGTCCTATGCATATCTGCTCAGAAGTAAGTTTTATCTGGAAGCCTTTTTTCCTAGGATTTATAGATTTTTAGTCTCAAACCATAAATTAATTAACTGTAATTTTACATACATTTGTTACTTTTAAATGATTTAAATTCATTTTCTGCATACAAGGAAAGCATTTTGTGTGGAATACAAGTAGACTATGTAAAAAAATATTGAAATCCAACCATTTTACCCAGTAAAAGAGAATAATATACTAAGGACCAGGAGAAATTTAACATTAAGTAGGCATAGCTTCACATAATTAATATCTTTTTAATATGAAATAAAGTTTAACTTTAAAATATATTATGCTGTTTTATGGTGTATTTCCCAAGATAGAAGTAATTATTGTAAAATTAGAATCTAATGTTTAAACATAATAGTAAGAAAATAATTTTGTTTGCTGAATAGAAACATCCAATTTAATTTAGAGCTCAAATGGGGGGGAAAGTACAGTAGAGCTTCAAACTTTTTTAAGGAAACACTCATGAAAGAGGTGGAATAATAAACTTTTTAAATATTATAACACTGGGAGAGTGAGAATTTTACTGATTTATTTGAAGCATTCTAAGATAGCTTTATAAATATAAAATATATTTAAATGCTTGCACTCAAAACAACCATGACATTAAAAATTATTGGATCATTTTATTTACACTTTTTAAGGCTGGAATTTTATAAATAATACTAACACGATTGGATGGGACTTCCTTCTGAATAGACATATATAGGATTGTGCTGTTTATAATTTTTATGCTGTGAGCAACTGTAGAAATTATCTAGAAGCTCTACATATGACATTAGCAAATCAAGTTTCTACATTCTCTGGTTTGGAATGTGCAGAAAATCTTGAAAAAGATAACCCAAATACTCTAAAATCCATATATCCTTTTAATTTAGGAAAAAAATAGGATTTGTGATAGCAAGAATAGTGCTTTGCATTTCTTTCCAATAGAATAACAACAACTGGCTGGTCAGAATCTAGTAAAATTTATTCTCCCTTCTGTGTCACCTTATAAAGGTTGCATTTTATATTAATCTTGTAACTGAACAGCTATTAAAAACTGCCTTTTCAGCCTTCTGCTTTCCGTGTTTTGTGATTCTACAGTGGGTGAGATAAACATTTAACTAGTAGTCTCAGCAATATCTTCTTACTGAAACTTTGAATAGTTGTTATCTTGCCTGCTTAATAGGTCACAGTATACATATATTCACATTCCTTTAACTGATAATTTGTTTTTCGATGTATGAGAATTTCTATGGCCCAGTTTGAATGCTAGGTAGTAGTTGCTGGCATAAATTGTATGATATCCAACTTCTATTTCAATCAAATATGTCAAGTATTTATATAGAGGAAGAGAACTAACTGTTTAGTTAGCAACCTTTTATGTTCTGCTTGAATTTTCAATGTATAAAGTAAATTTACAGAGAATAATTTATTGATGTGGTTTAATGTTATTTGCAATTTACTTTTATGGATTATATTTAGAGTTAGCTGGCCTTGTTTCAAACTGAAGGAAAGGTGCCAGATGAAATTTATATGAATAGAATGGTGCAGACTGAGTTTTATATGTACCGATGGTTAATAATTTTTTTTAATAACAAATGTATTTTTGAAATCATGAAGAGTATTATTGGCCTTGTGGACTTTTAATAATAAAATATTGTAGATATTTATTTCTGAATTTTTACAATTAACATAGTACAAGTCAGTTTAAATCTTTTTGCTGTATATGTTTTACTTTAGCCTATTGTTGCCATGATGTTAGAAAAAGTAATTTATTTTTTTAAATGTTTGTTTAGGTTTTACTGCAATCACAGTAACTAATCCAATTTGGTTAGTAAAGACACGATTACAACTTGATGCAAGGTAAAATCTCCAATGATCTCTCGAAAACATAAGTAGATTGGTATGTATAAAATTGGTCAAAAGTTACATTATAAAAAGTTAATGTAAGGAACCAATAAAGTTCCATCATTAACTACCCTCCTACATCTGTTTTTAAATGAGCCTGTTAACTTGCTGACACTTGATACATCTATTTTTTTTACTGCAGTGTTTCAAAAAACACACATACATATACATACATATATTGCATGTGTCCAAAAACATTTGCTCTGAGTATCTAATTTAGATTATCTATTTCAAAGAGATTCTAGCATGTACAGTGTACACTATTTATACCTAAAGCTGTAAAATGTAACTGGGTATCATCAGACCATGGATTAGAAATATAATCTGTATGATTTAATCTGTATGAAATATAATCTATATGATTCTGGGCCCATATGATTCTGGGCCCAGTGCTCTTCAACATCTTTATCAACAATTTGGACGAGGGGATAAATGGGAAACTCATCAAATTTGCAGACGACACCAAGCTGGCAAGAATAGCCAACACTCCAGAAGACAGGCTTAAGATACAGAAAGATCTGGACAGACTTGAACACTGGGCGCTATCTAACAAAATGAAATTCAGTGGTGAAAAAAGCAAGGTTCTACATTTAGGCAAGAAAAACCCAAATACACAGATATAGTATAGGGGGTACCTTGCTCAATATAGTAACTGTGAGAGGGACCTCGGAGTCCTAGTGGACAATCACCTAAATATGAGCCAGCAGTGTGCTGCAGCTGCCAAAAAGGCCAACACAGTGCTAGGCTGCATTAACGGGGGGATAGAATCAAGATCACATGAAGTGTTAATACCACTTTACAATGCCTTAGTAAGGCCACACTTGGAATACTGCATCCAGTTTTGGTCACCCGATGTAAAAAAGATGTTGAGACTCTAGAAAGAGTACAGAGAAGAGCAACAAAGATGATTAGGGGACTGAAGGCTAAAGCATACAAGGAACAGCTGTTGGAATTGGGTATGTCTAGTTTAATGAAGAGAAGGATAAGGGGGGACATGATAGCAGTGTTCCAGTATCTCAGGGGCTGCCACAAAGAAGAGGGTGTCAAGCTATTTTCCAAGGCGTCTGAAGGCAGGACAAGAAGCAACGGGTGGAAACTAAGCAAGGAGAGAAGCAACCTAGAACTAAGGAGAAACTTCCTGACAGAACAATTAACCAATGGAACAACCTGCCTCCAGAAGCAGTGAATGCTCCAACACTGGAGGTTTTTAAGAAGAGACTGGACAGCCATTTGTCTGAAATGGTATAGGGTTTCCTGCCCGAGCAGGGGGTTAGACTAGATGACCTCCAAGGTCCCTTCCAACTTTACCACTACTATTATTATTATTATTATTACTACTACTACTATTACTATTATTATATATTTTAATCCTTTTAATGAGAAACATTTATTTTAAATCTTGAAATGCTGTTGTAGGTGATTCTGAATTCTTATTTTTTATTTTGTGGGTCTATGGAATATGAATTAGCAAGAAACCTGAGGCAAATTGTTGATTGGCAATGATTTGGAGCATAGAACCTATCAATACATGTTGTAGTGCCTTCTTTTTTTTTTTTTTTTTAAATACATTTTTATTGAAAAATTTTTTTAAAAATTTTACAAAAAACAAAACAACCGTTCCCCAAACCTCCCCAACCCTCCCATTCCCTCCCCCGACCTTCCCAGAGCTGAATATAGGCTTAATTAAAATTTCTTCAAAAAATCTTTAAAAAGATATAAACCATGAGTAAATCTAAATACATTAATTAAACAAATTATAAAATAATTAACAATAATATATATATAGAAAAACATAAATACCAAAAGAAAAATACTTAAAAGGAAAAAGAATAAAGAAGAAAAAAGAAAAAGATAAAAGAAAATATAATAAAAGTACAAAGTAAAAAGAAAAAGAAAATAAAGTCTATAAAATATTTTAAATTTTAAATATTAAATATAAGTTATTAAAAAACTAAATAATATTTTTATATCCAACTTATGTTGTATAAAATCTATCCATTTTTTCCATACCGCAAAATACTTCTCTTGCGATTGATCCTTCAAAAAAGCCGAAATCTTTGCCATTTCCGCCAAATAAGAAACTTTAAAAAACCATTCTTGCAAAGTAGGCAAAGATTCCTTCTTCCAACATTGCCCTACTAACAACCTTGCAGCTGTAATTAAATTTAACATCAATGTAGTCTCTTTAGTATCACAATCAGTAACAATACCTAACAAAAACAATTGTGGGGTAAATTTTACCCTCCTTCTAAAAATTCTTTGAATATTCCACCATATCTTAATCCAAAAAGCTTTTATATTTTTACATATATTTTTACTGCCTTCTTAACAGTTTAAATGGCATAGAAAACATTTGAGAGCAGTAATTTTAAGTCTGCTATTCAAAAAAGGTGCAGAAATAGCAACTTTTCTCCTTATTTCTTGACTAAGTGACTTTAGGTCAGTCCCTCTATATCCCAGTTCCAAACATCTTGCCATAACAATTTCAAGAACTAATCCATACAATCATTAAGAGCCAAGACCAACTTGAAGGCACACAAATAAAAAACTGGCTTTAAAGAAGGCTTTTAAATGAAAGACTCTTGATCCCAGATGCATCAGTCATAAGGCTTTAGCTTGTAACAATTTCATGAATAAAGAATATAGTTAAAAGAAGTCTTTCTTACATATTTGTCTGAGCATCCAGACATCTAGAACTAAGATTGAAAGGCTAGTCTTGATTAATGTCATGTCTCTATTAAAAAGCTATGCAAACATGACCAAACTTTGGGCACTTGACAACATAGCTGCATTTACAGCCGTTTTCAGTGACCAGTGGTTACAAGATTGAGTTTTACAAAAGTTTTGCTGACAATTGGCACTTGCAGAGTTTTGCAAAATCATACCCATAGAGAACCTTTGGTTTGAAACAAATTGAAATAGTGAATGTTTGGTTTGCTATTGACCATAGCATTCACTTAATGTCCGCTGCAGAAAAGTCATAAAATCAGATCTGTCATGTGACAACCCATTTTACAATGTCATAAGTTAAGGACTACCTGTAAACAGTAGTTCTATGGCTCAAGAGGAATTGAGGCTTATAGTTCTAGTTGAAATTAAATCAGGCTTAATTTAGTCAGGCTATTTGTATGTAGGTGAAAGACTGTATTTTTTTCTTTGATCATTGATAATATATAAATGGTTCCACCAAACTATGCAAATGTGAAAACTATGAAAGCTTTCAGCCACTTTGCTGCATGGAATATGTCATGCTGATTCTTGGTAGAATGTAAACTATTCAGATTTCAAAGTAGTTTTTACTTTTGTTTTGTTTTCCATTTTAGGAATCGTGGAGAAAGACGGATGAATGCGTTTGAATGTGTACGCAAAGTTTATCAGTCAGATGGAATTAAAGGTTTTTACCGAGGGATGTCTGCCTCTTATGCAGGCATATCAGAGACTGTTATTCATTTTGTTATTTATGAGAATATTAAACAAAAAATCTTGGAATGTAATTCTGCTTCTGGGATGGATAAGGAGGATGAGCCTGTTAAAAAAGCATCTGATTTTGTTAGTATGATGGCAGCCGCAGCCACTTCCAAAACCTGTGCTACGTCTATAGCCTATCCACATGGTAAGAATCATTTGCTTAGAAAGATGGTGAACAAAAAAGGTAGCATTTATCACTGTATATTGCAACAAATCATAGATTACGTTAAAGTTATTTGGGTTGTTAAATGATGGCCACATTCGTCTTATTTAAGAACATGCAGGTTGAAAGAAAAAGAAGAAACAGAATATTTTCAAACTTGGACTTATTTTATCAATGGCTGAAGAAAAGGAATTAGGAATTCAGTTTGTATTAGTGAATGTTATACTCAGACAACACATTTGTTGAATAAGTACTTTTGAATTGTATTTAAAAAATCAATAAAAACTTAAAATAAAATAAAATACTGCAGGGCATTTGGTGCTCTCTGAGTCTTGTTCGTTTTTTGCAGATATTTCATTGCCCAACTAGGTAGCATCATCAATACTTGAAGGGAGACTGGCGACGTTGCTGGTTGGGTGATGAAATATCTGCAATAAAGCAAATTTAGAGAGCACCAAGGACTCTCCAGTTTAACCCTGAAAAAAAAAATGCAGTTTTCAGAAAACTGATGAAAATGCTAGCCAGACATTATTAATAAAAATATTCACCGCTGACATTTCTAAAACATTATAAATCCAAAACAATAAAATACAATTAATAAATCATCCAAGAAAGATACTTTAACACAGTTAAAAGTCATTATTCCAGTGTAGTGCATAGATTTAAATATATGGCCAGGACAAGAATATCTTTACCTGGTTCTGAAAAAGGTTTTCTTTCTTGGGAAGACCATTTCAAAGAGGGGTAGCCAAACTGAAAATGATCTCTGTCTTGTAGTCATCCATCAAAGTTTAACAAGGCATTTGAAGGAGGACCTCAAAGGATGATCAGGTAGCCTGGGCAGAATAGTTAAAGCTATTACTTGACATACTCTTGATATATTTTAATTGCAAGTATTTAGGGCTTTTAATTTCACTATTAGAATTTGGAACTTGGCCCACAATTTGATGAAAGTATTTATGCTGATCCCTTAGAAAAGTATTGTAATTAGATGAAGAAGAGAAGTACTGTATTTCTGTCAACCAATCTAAGAAAGGTGATAGATAGATTTAATTATTTTGGACATGATAGATCAAATTTACAGTCCGTTGGTCATTACTTTACATGTTTTGCTCCTTGAGACATAACTATTGACTAATTTAAAGCATACTAATGTCCATGAAGCTAAAGGTTGTTGAATGTGGATTGAATCAAATAGAAATGAAATTTGTTTCCCTGGTCTTTGCATAGTGATTGCTTATGAATATTGCTTAGAAATGGGGATTTTTGTATAAAATACATTATCAAATATGAGACTTTCTCCTTTTTCTTTAATGCAGAGGTTGTACGAACAAGACTACGAGAAGAAGGAACAAAGTACCGATCCTTTTTCCAGACCCTATCTTTGCTTTTGCAAGAAGAAGGCTATAGTTCTTTCTACCGTGGTCTAGCCACACATTTGATAAGACAAATACCGAACACAGCTATAATGATGACTACCTATGAAGTAGTAGTCTACTTGCTCAATAGACAGCAGCACTACTATCTGACAATAGGGAAGTGAAAAACCAAAGTTTTGCAATGGACCATAGACATTCTGAATGATAGACAGCAGCTATACATATATATATATATATATATATCATCCAGGTGTATCACCCGTATATCAACTATATGCAGATATGGACAAAGTGGAAGACTGTTGATAGGCAATCATTCACACTTCTGCTGGCTTATCATATGGCAGGGGTGTCAAACTGTTGGCCCACGGGCCAAATGTGTTGCCAAGAAACTGTGCCCACCCGATTGCTGGCAATGGGGAAAAAGCTCTGCTACGTCACGTCGCAAGTTTGACATGTCTGTCATATGGTATCTCTTGCAAGTTGTTCTTAAGGATTGCCTTTAAAATGTCATACTTCAGTTGCAATTTCCTCTTACTATATTAGCTTTTTTACTTCTATGCAGCGAGCAGCGAGGACTTGGTGTGAGCAAGGAGGTTGTAATGTTTTTTAGTGCAAGGTGTAAATCCATTATTGGTTGTAAAGTTATGTTCTACAACAGTTCAAAGGCTATGTCAGTGTAAAACAGATCCGTGCTCGTATCTGAAAGTCCACTTTGCAATTGAAATAAAATGAAAGGTGAAGATTTACATTAAGCTTCCCATTTTACTACCTCAATGGGTCTCAGGAGGAAATGTAGATTCCTACATTCCTCTAATAACATAGTGGTCTTCATTTGTATAAATCGGGACAGGGCAGGAAGAACAAAATTATAATAATTTTAACATCTAACCCTGGGGTTCGGGTGCATATTTTAATAACCTGAAGAATTTTTTGCCGTACAAATAGAAAAAGGATTATTTCTGTTCTCCTGTATACATCTGCTAATGTATCCCAGTAGGACTTCAAGTATTTCTAGATTGTGTTATTTTGAACCAAGAATCAACCAACACTTGTAGAGTGACAAATATGTTAGTAATTCAGCGTTATGTCAGACTTCAGCAAACTTAATTCTTGTAAGAGTTACTTCATTTGAGCTGAAATCTGCATCAACTAAATGCCAAACTTTAAAAACATGTCAGAATCAAATGCTAATAGAATTAACTAAAGAAATCATAATTTAATACTCTGCATTTAGGCATTCCCTTGTATTTCATTATTTGCTTAATTTCTGGTGCATTTGCAGAAATCGAAAAATAAATATTTCTTTTTTCCCCCCCCAGAAAGTATGGTCCTTAAAATTTATTTCAAGATTTACACAATATCATTTGCTATAATTTAAGAGTTGGTCTTCACTAACTCATAGAAACTATGTTGTCTTTAACAAACACGATTCACAGTATTACAAGAAACCTATTTTAGTGTTATATAATTAATACAAAAATCCTATATTCATTTTTTTTTAACTACAGCCCTGCTGTTCCAAGCAAATTTCTCCCTGTGAATTACTGTTTTCTAATTGAATATTTTTTTATTTGCAAACTTAACTAGTGATACCAGAAAATTGTGAATTCATTTGCGGGTATTTAGTTCAGAGACAATATTCTAAAAATGTGTATCTTTAATGCATTTGATTATTATTATTATTATTATTATTATTAAATAATTATAATGGTGCAATCCTACTCTTGTCTATTCAGAAGTTACAAAGAATTTAGAAAGATTTATTTCTAAGTCAGTTATTTCTAATAGAATTATAGCTTAAAGTTTATTTATGGCAACTGGCTTAAATCATGGTTAGTTATTATATATTTTTTGTTACTGAATAATGCAAAGAAGTGAAACATGGGGCATGAGGAAAGCTTAAAATTTATTTCTATAAACTATTCAAAAATAATCTTATTGCAGGCTACTTTAAGATAATGCAGAGATAGTGAGGATATAGCCAACTGTCAAAATGGATTCTCCCTGGATATTCTGTAGCAAATATGCTTCCGATAGACTTACAATATTTAGTTTGACGATTATATTAAAATGTACCTTGTTATAAATAATTCTGCTGGATCTTTTTAGCAGGAAGCAGTTTTCTTTAATGATCTTGTTATACATGTAGTCCTTGGATTGAGACTACATTTGGGGCTGAAATTTTGGTTGCTAACCAATGTAGTCATTAAGCAAATCTGGTTTCTCCCATTGATTTGCTTGTTGGAAGCTTGCTAGAAAGTTGCAAATCATGATCACATGACTGGAGGATGCTGCATCTGTTGTAAATGTGAGCCTATTATCAAGTGTTCAGATCATGATCACATGACTGCAAAGACATGTTATAAATCACTTCAGCACCAAATTGTAATTTCAAACCATCATCAAATGAATGGTCATAAGTTGAGGATTACCTGTATTACTTTAGTAAACATGACGGATACAGTCATTAGTTGAAGCAACGGATTACCCAGGAACTTTTCATTTGAACACATTTCTTGCTTATAAATATTACTGACAAAGATCTTATTGATAGTAAACAATAGGCTACAAATGCTTGCTATCTTAAATAATAAAATTGAGTAATATTACTTTGTTATGAAAAAACTTCTAGAAAAACTAGCTTCATATTTTTCTATATCTACACTCAGGTAGATTCAGATAACTAAGCTCCTCCCCCTCCTATTGTACAATCACCATTAGCTCCCTGTGATAGCATTCCAGCAACAATTGTTCAAAGATAATGAATCAGAGAACTTTGGGTCAAACTTAAAATGTAGAGTAAAATCATAATTACTTACTAATTCTCCATCTGACAAGATCTTTTAAAAAGAATGTTTCAAAATCATAAGCTGTTCTAGCATGCCAGCTTTATGAATCCACATTTCTATTCTATTGATCTATTGTTCATAGATCACACTCAGTATATGATCATGCAGCATCCTGTACTTAATATCACTAAAAGGTTTACTTTTCAGTTGCTTAAGGTACATGACTTTGCCAGATGAATAAAGTTTCTTTTAACTAATGTATCTATTTGAGTATAAAGCGAAACATTACATAAACTTCTTTTGGTAAAATATTTATAATCTGCCTTCAAAAGATGCATTTGATTATGATAGTTATATTAAGAATTAGGGGATATGATGAACAAATTCATCCCAAGCATTTTTACTGTCACTGCCATTTCATATATGCTATGGCATAAGGATGTGGAATATCTAAGTTCAAAGGAGAAATGGTGATTCAGTGTATGTGTATTGGCATGCATATTGTGCTTGTCAGCAATTCTTTAAACAACTCATATGTTTCCTTACATCTTAAGGCAGTAGATAACGGAATCCCAGAAAATAAATATCCATTTAATTTAAGAAGGTGCTGATAGTTGCAACCTTTTCCTTCTACATACCGATTCCTTGCAGTCTTTTTATTAATACAGTACACGAATCTGTAGAATAAACATGAATCTGTAGAATACTTGTTTATTTTAGTCCAGTGATTCTCAACTTCTACAGTTTTAAGATACGTGAAATTCAGCTCCCAAAATTGCCACGCCAACATGCTGGTTGGAGAACTCCGAGCAGTGAAGTCCTTACATCTTAAAAAGTTGCCGAGATTGAGAAACACTCCCTTATTCCAAGATTAAAGGTGGTGATTTTGGGCAAAGTCGCCTTAATGAACTATCCTAACTTCAGCCTGAATTCAGATTAGGAATCTCAGGTGGGATTAGAAGAAGAAGAAAAAGCAGAACTCTCATTAAATACTTGCAAAAAGCTTCCTAGGTGACATGCTCCCACCAAAGGAATATTGATATCTAGTGTCAACTCTTGGGTTGAAATAAAAAAACAAAAAATTAAGAAACGTATTACCCAACATCTTTTTGATAATTTGAAGAAAATACTATACATTTTCTATGTAGTAGTCTTTTATGGCTTTTTAATCTTTGTATCCAGCTTTGAAATTATAAGATAAACTAATATAATTACCCCTTTTGTTCTAGCCATATACAATTTGATTAAATAATTACATAATATGAATATAATTTAATCCTCAATTGTGTGGTTATATTCCTGTATATCTTTTTGAATGAAATAATGGATTTAAAACTTCAAAAATTGAGGATTTTTCAATGTGCACAATACACTTTGGAAGTATATTCTTCTGAAGACAGACACAAACTGTAAAATAAAAAATCAGAAGGTGTCTGGTAGCACCTTTAGCTGACAAAAGGCATACATTTTTGTGATCTGTAAATGAGCTCGTTTTAATAGACCTCTGATTTTTGGCTGCCATAGATAAATACAACTCTCTTAATAAAACAAATATAACCAGAAGGTGGCGCTATGGTAATGCCAGTTTCAGAAGTGTATCTATATACATCTATTACTATGTAGCACAGAAACAAGCCATAGTAGATTTTGCACTTGCCAGATTTGTATTATCCTGTGTAAAACACCATTAAATCAAGGAATAACTTGTAGGTTTCTTACATAAAGTTATTTTTTTTAATTATAAGCAAGGTTTTCTTTAAGCATACATAAATCTCAAATTTGACACTTTAAATGATAAAACAGCTAATGTGACTTCAGTGAGCTGGTTATCAATCTAAAATTTTATGTGAAAAGGTTATTTCCCCATACAGTAAAAAGTTTGGGATTGCATTTGAGGTATTTAGCAATCTGCTTTACTCATACCAAGTAGATTTCCAGTGCTTTCCTTCTCAAAAAGCATAAAATGCACTTATTAAAAGTTAATTTATCATTGAAATGTAGTTTTATGTCTATCTAACACCATAATTTTAGAACTGATATAAGATATTGTGACATCTCATTTTTAACTTTTAAATCTGTATGATATAACTGCAGCCTGTAATCTGGAGATTATTTTGTTTTCATCAGGTTTTATAAATTCTACCATCTGCAGAATACTGATGATGTGTGCCTATATATGTTTGTTACTTTAGAATTCAACTGTTTATCTTTTGATAAATACCTGAAGTCCAATTTCAGGTTTGTTTTTATTTTATGTACAGAAAGCTTGCATACCCTCTATATGTGAAAGTGTTTTTTCTAGAGTTCTTCTTGTTTACAAAGTCAGACATTCTATCACTCCTACAAACTTTGTTTTAATTCTTTCTAATTTTTGGCTGTCAAATATGTGCTTTAAATACTTTTTGTATTTATGCCGCAGGGCAATGTTTTGTTTGGACTGCTCAAAACTTCAAAATAAAAGAGTTTATTTAAACCAATTAGACTTCATTAGCTTTTTTTAAAAACACAAAAGGTTGTTTCAAGTAAAAAAAATGGTGTAGTTCTTTAAATTATCAGAGTGAGAAAAAACATTGGTTTTTGAATAAAGTTCATAACAGACAACAAAAAACTTTATAAAAAAATAATATGCTTTTAGGGTAGTATATTTTACATATTTTTCTTCAGGTCTTCTTTCTTTATGAATAAATGTCTCCTGAAATATTTGCCTTGTTTTCAAAATTCCATTGTGCAAAAAATTGTTGAGAAGACCTCACCATATTACCTTGTCATAGTGGATGTTCAAAGATAAAATTTCATTTATTGTAAAAGAAAATCTCCATTGTGAAGATACTACAGTTTATACTGTATATATACAAGTAGTTCTCAACTTATAACCACATTTGAGTCTGAAATTTTGGTTGTAAGTTGTTGCAGTTATTAAGCAGGTAGCCATGTGACCTGACTCTTTCCCACTGTTCTTATAACCATTGCTAAGCAAGTCACCATAATTATTAAGTAAACCGTTTGGTGGTTTAGCAAATCCAATATATCCAATGGGTGGGCTTTTTGTCATTGTTTGCTGGAAAATGGCAAAACATTTCTATCAGGATCACATGACCACAGGATGCTGCAACCCAGTATAAATGCCAACCATTTGCCAAGCACCTGAAATGCACTCGTATTACCAAGAGAGGTCCAGCAGTGTGAGTAGCTATTTGAAGTCTGTCATAACTGATTGATTTGAGTGTGGGTTTCTTTTGTTTAGTTTCTTCTAAGCCAGTATTTCTCAATCTTAGCCATGTTAAGATGTGTGGACATCAACTCCCAGAATTTTCTGTCAGCTTGTTGAAGTCCACACATATTAAAGGTACTGCAGTTGATCTAGACCATGCTTGATAACAATATTTTAGGAGTTCAAGATTTTATCTATAGATAGAAGGCTAACATCTGGATTTCAGATTTACCCAGTATAAAAAGGATGGGTGGCCATATCTATGAGCTACATAGTAACAACTATCAGAAGCACCAGAAAAGGTACATCTATGGGGGCTAGCCTCTCTCCCAGATATATGGCAATCACTAAGAACTAACGGGTTTTCCAAGATCAAGATAGTTCTTATCCTTTGTGCACAGAAAATGCCAGGATTAATTCCTTCCATAAAGAAAACTGGCAGATGTTCTAGTCTGTAATCGCAGAGAGCTCTGCCAGCCAGTGTAAACAATGTTGAGCTACAAAGGCCAATGGTCTGACTCAGCATAAGGCAGGCTCCCATGCTCCACTTTATCCTTTTCCTGACAAGTGAGATGAGAAATTGCTGAAAATCACTGTTGCAAGAGCATGGTACTAAAACTGTTTCTGTCATAGCAAAAACAAACAAGAATATATGCAAGAAAAATGAACAAGGTTCTTAACAGTGATGCTTGTTAAGTGTGGAAATCATAGCCTACATTATGGTTTGCATTTTCTTCTCCTTTATAATTGCTGGAAATATCCAATTAATTAAAATGTATACAAATAATTTTCTAATCGTGAAGAGATCATATCAAGTACTACATGTAGAGTACGTCATGTACCAAACTAGGTAGCAGATGTAGATGCATGCTTCCATTTGTAAGATTAGCTGAGATAATATTAATTTGGTAGTTTTGGGAGCATTTCACTTCCAACTGTCTGATATTCTACATGATAATCTGGAGTGTTCTATGAATAGAATAGAATTGGATCATTATTTTACATTATTTTTATACAGTACCTTATATTACACAATCAGAGGGAAAAACTATTCTGTTTCCATAAAATTTAGAAACTTGAACACTGGATCATTATTTTCCATTCCCATGTCAAAATTAAATATTTGTTACAAATGTCTCATATTTTGTGCTGCCAAAAATGGCAACTAAGTTTGAATTCATTCCATGGAGAAAGTTATGATTTTAGACCACCTCTACAGTATAATTAGATGGCTGTCATGTTTGGCCTGCTTGGTAATCATAATAGATCATTTATGTTGGAAATAATTTAAACCATATTCTCCAACCTTCAAGCATATCTAGTGTCTGCCTTACTAGAAATACCTTAAGCAGCTTGGGAGTAATTCAATCCCTGAAAAGGCTTGGAAGTATTTCTACTAGAAAATAAATCCCTTACAATATTTTATTATTATACATATTTTATAGGCCTGGAAAAGAGAGACCTGGGGGGATGATGAATTTGTGGTTTAAGCCAATACCTGTGAAAACATCTGCATTAAAATTGTCATGAAAATTTACTTTCCTGGGAAAAAAGCCTACACAACTGCCTATCCAGATAGTAAAAGTTAAAAATAAAAAATATTATATTGTACTTGAATATCCATCAATGTAATTCCTTTCAAAAAGCTAAGGAAATGCAAGCAGTGTTTAGTTAAAATCGTATCACTTACAAACTGAATAAGGAAAAATCAGCCAAGTTAAAAAAAATGGAGTATAAGACTCGTGCATTTTTACTCTCTATAACGGGTTGTAGAAAATGAGAAGACTGTGACAAATAGTAACATTGCAATATATACTGAAGTTATAAATATGAAATGTATAAAAACTGAACCATATTGCTATTTTATGATTCTCAGCAAGATGCAAACGGGTTATGGGAAGACTGAGTATAGGAAAGTATTTGTCACCTAAAGTAGAGATGTATAAAATACTGGCTTCTATGCATTCTAAGCTTCTAACAACTGAATTCAATACTTTATCCAGGCTGTCAATTGAATTGGGGATCTTCTGCGTACAACATACTTACTAACTGCCATGAACAGATTTGTATCACCTTTACCTTAACTGTAGCTTTTCCTGATGGTTTTTTTTTCTAATTTTGGTTTGTTTCCTTTTTAAAGTTCAAATAACTCCTCTTATTTTCTACTCTCAAAAGCTTTATGCCACTAATTCAAGTGTGAGAGGCTTCGAGGAATTCCTTCCTTCCTTCCTTCCTTCCTTCCTTCCTTCCTTCCTTCCTTCCTTCCTTCCTTCCTTCCTTCCTTCCTTCCTTCCTTCCTTCCTTCCTTTTGATGGAATTGTGAGTGCTGGCCTATTATGGTTAGGCACAAGTGCACTGTGTAAACATCTAGAATTGTCATGATGAAGTTACAGGGACAATGGTTAACTTTATATAATTTCCCTCTATAAATTTTGCTGAATTTCAGTCTTTGGCACCTTATTGCAGAGACTGTAGGATCATAAATATTTTTTCAGAAAGAAAAAATATTTTTCTGAATTTTTTTTCAGAAAAATTATGCCTTTAGAAAAAGGTCACTATGAACTGTGTTGTAAACTATGCTATGTCCTGCAACAGTCCTGGTTACTTTCCAAATACAACTAAAAGAGTCAAGGAGATGATTTCCTTTTCATGCATAATTGGATTCAACAGGTTTGGCATAACCACTAGTCTGATCTTCATAGTTAATATTTTTATTGATATTATTGTAATTTATTTTGGCTAATTTGTACGTATTGTTTACTAATGTTAATGTCTAGCAGCTGAATTGTTACTTTAATTAAATTGTTGATATATTTTGTTTAGGAATTATTTAACTGTGGTTCATCTGACATGTTTGCTTTAAATACCCAATTAAATTGTCTTAGAATTTTGCAACTGTGCTTCATGGCCTGAAATCAATGTATGACTGAAGGGCAGTGTATTAAATTCTACATTGACAAACATTTCTGTTTTATGTTGGTTAAACAGAACCACTCAGTTATTAATCTAATTTATTTACACAGTTTATAAAATAAGTGCAGCTATAAATGTTTTAATGTTAAAACTCATTAAAAACTGCATAGAAGTTCAAGTACAGCAAAACAAGACAATGATTGGTGATCTAAATAATACTGGACTTTTTGTCTATCTGTTCGTTAAGAAGATACACATCTAGTTTCCCAAATGTTCTGGGAAGCTTAAAATTGTTAAGGACAATAGTTTTCTCTATGCAGATAGTCCTCGACATATAACTTATTCATTTAGCAACTGAAGTTACAATGGCACTAGAAAAAGTGACTTACAACTCTTCATTGCACTTACAACTGTTGCAGCATCCCCATGGTCACAGGATCATAAATCAGTTGCTTGGTAACCAGCATGTATTTACAATGGTTACAATGTCCCAGGGTCATGTGATCATCATTTGCAAATTTCCCAGCTGGTATCCAACAAACAAGGTCAATGGGACAAGCTAGAATCACTTCATGACTATGTAATTCATCTTATAGCTAAATAATAAATTAACAACAGCAGTGCTTCACTGACCAACCATGGAAAAAAGGTCACAAAATCTGGTGTGACTCAACAATACTTAGCAATGGAAATTCTGGTTCTAATTGTGACTGTAAGTTGAGGACTACCTATAGTTGCTCTCCAGTTTTCTACATAAGCTATACTTCCAATATTTGAAGAATAAGTAAGTAATAATTACAAAAAATGTACATGGACTGCAAAAAGTGTTTTCTGAAATCCTAGAAAATGCTACCTGTACTGGATTATATGGAACAATGGTTTGAACATCCCTTGTTGGCAGCTTTCTACATCTTCTAGGCTGTGCTTAGATAATTGATGTAGCATTTTGTATACTACCCACAATGTATGTAATAATTTACAATTATAATAACAATGTAACAATTTGTAATAATCAGAAGAAATACTTTTTCACAGAATCAAAAGTGTGTATGTGTGTTTATGTGTGCGTGTGTTGTAGTTTGGTATGAAATGTGATAAAGTCTTTTTTGTGGTTAATATCCATATTATACATACATTCTATATTTTTAGATTTGAGTTTATAAATTACCTATAGCTGGTTTGTAATATGACAAAAATATGAATGACAGGCCCTTTTTTTCAATCTACGACATCACAGGATTATTCTTGTGGGAAAAATTAGACAAAACTCCCTATTCATTCATATCATCTTAAGCTCCTAGGAAAAAATAAGTTTTAAATACAATCAACAAAAATTAGTGAACAATGTGGAGT